CAGTACGAAGATTACGAAATTGCCACGGAACTCTGTCAGTGGCAAATGTCAGTTCGCCTGGCTTCCCTTCGTTCGATTATGGGAAAAGAATGTTTACAAATTTTAAGAAATTTGAGCTTGACCGCCGAACAACAAGCAACCGTGAAAGGATGTTTGGATGGTTTGGAAGCGCACTTTAAGCCTCAGCGAAATGTTGTGTATGAAAGATACGTGTTCAACAGCTGTGTACAAAGTGTAGAAGAAAGTGTGGACGTCTAAGTCAATCGACTTCGAAAACTCGCTTCATCTTGTGAATTTGGCGCGTTAACTGACGAATTAATTCGCGATCGGCTTGTCATTGGAGTGAAAGATAGGGATTTGAAAGGCAGACTACTCAGGCAGAAAGGTTTGTCGTTGCAAAAAGCCATAGAAATGTGTAAATCAAACGAAATTACGAAGCAGCAATTGAAGAGCCTGGAAAACGAAGAAAAGAAACCTCATGAAGAAGTCAACATGTGTAAACAAAGTGGCCGCCGCTCGTCAAGAACAACAAAGAAACCGCCCGCACAAGACTTGAAAAAGAAAACACCCGACTTCAAAACCAAACCCGAGAAAGGAAACTCGAAGCGAAAATGCAAGTATTGTGGTAAACAGATGCACAACAAGAGGCAAGATTGTCCTGCTTTCGGCTCAACGTGCCACAAGTGCAAGAAAAGCAACCATTTCGCGTCGGTCTGTAATTGAACGCGACGAGATCAAGTTAATACTGTCGAAGATGAAAACGACTCGGATTCTGATCTCTCAGTTCTCACAGTGGATGTAGTCTCCGCAATCGCCGGTAAAGGTAAACAAGTCCTTGCCAAGTTAACATTCTGCATTCAAGACAAATACAAGACGTCTATGGAGTGCCAACTAGACACCGGTGCCTCGTGCAACGTGATCAGTCATCGAGATCTGTCTATTCTGTTGCAGAACGGATCACCTCCACTTAACCACAGTTCAGTCAAGCTTAGATTGTTTGATGGATCAATCATGCGCACCCTGGGAGAAACACACCTAACTGCAGAACATGAAGGAAAATGCCACACCCTAAAGTTTCAAGTGGTTGACTGCACAAACAAACCTTTGCTATATCTGCTGAAGCCTGTGAGCGAATGGGTCTTCTGAAGTTCAACTTCACCCCTCCGGAACGTGTGAACATGGTGGAAAATATGGCAGACCTCCCTCTTACAAAGGAAAAGATCTTAAGCAATTACAAAGATGTTTTTGATGGCTTAGGACACATAGGTAACTCCTCGTTGGTGACAGTCGACAACATAAAACCAATCCAACACACACCCAGACGTGTACCAGTCGCGCTTCGCGACGAGGTAAAAGACAAGCTGTCAGACCTGGAGAAGAGAGGCATCATTCAGAAGGTAACTCAACCTACGGAATGGATTAGTAGCATGGTGGTTGTAGCAAAACCGGGCAAAATAAAGATATGCTTGGATCCTAGAGACTTGAACAAAGCCTTGAAACGCCCCAAGTACCAGATGCCAACACTGGAGGAACTTCTTCCCAAACTAGGAAAAGCACAGGTATTCTCCACGCTTGATGCGAAAGATGGATTTTATCAGATCGCCCTGGACAAAGAAAGTAGCATGAAAACAGCATTTTGAACCCCGTATGGACGATACCGTTACAAACGAATGCCTTTTGGGATCAGCGTAGCACCCGAAGAGTTCGAGTGTAAGCTTCAAGAAAGGTTAGCTGACATTCCTGGAGTGGTCGTGGTACGTGATGATATCTTAGTCATGGGATACGGAGACAGTCAAGAGGAAGCAGTGAAAGACCATGATGACAACTTGGTAAAACTTCTTCAGCGAGCGAGACAAGCAAATCTGAAGCTAAACAAGTCCAAGATGAATCTGAGAAAGCCTGAAGTATCATTTATGGGCCATTTCATCACAAGCAAAGGTCTAAAACCAGATCCAAAGAAGGTGAAAGCGGTGGAAGAAATGCCCAGACCTACAAGTAAGAAGGAATTGTCAAGTCTTCTTGGTTTTGTGAACTACTTATCCAAGTTTCTACCCCGACTTGCCGAAGTAGCCAAGCCACTACGAGAACTCACATCCAAAGAAGCAAGATTTCTCTGGTCACCGCAACACGAAACTGCCTTCTCTGACGTCAAGCAGCTTGTGGTCAACCATCCTGTACTAAAATTTTATGACCCTCTAGCTGAGGTGACCTTGCAGTGTGACGCCAGCGAATACGGATTAGGTGCCACTCTCCTTCAAGATGGCCAACCTGTAGCATTTGCATCTAGCACTTTGTCACCCACTGAAAGGAACTATGTTCAAATAGAGAAAGAGTGTCTAGCGATCGTTTTTGGATGCCAACGCTTTGACCAGTACCTTGCAAGAAAGGACAAAATCACTGTTGAATCAGATCACAAACCGTTACAAGCCATTTTTCTGAAGCCTATTCATGCAGCACCGTGCAGACTCCAAAGGATGCTCTTACGTCTATTGCGATACAA